TCAGGAATATACTTTGAATTCATAGGATTTCAGCCCAATTGAACCAAATGAGGTATTCAGAATCTTTTCATTATGCTTTACTTGCATTTTCAAACATGACCGAAGTGATTTTAGATGAAAATATAGAATCGAAGATTCAAGTTATTTACAATCTATGACTACCGATCGTATTATCAAATAACTCGAGTTACACAACTCCCAAACTGATGCATGTCAACAAGTCAATTCATTATCCTTCTAGTGTATTCACTCTTTAATACCATAATGCATATCCATAGATCATCCCCATAATCATCGCTGAATAGATCTTCCAACGGTCTTCATTTCATTTCCACGTTTCAACGATATCTGGAAATACGGACGTACTTGATTCATGGTTCATAACCCATAAGGATAATTCATCATGTAAGTTCAACAGTGTTTCCAAACTCATCAAATCACCTATTTAATCCTCAGTCATTGAGGTTACTTAGTTTGTTTAGTAAGCAAGTTTATCCCGGTTACTTTAGAGTTTTCCAGAATAACTCAGACATTTCTGAATTTCAAATACATGTTGTACTTCCTTTCAGTTCAATTTATTCATATAATAAAGTCATTCTGGTATTCGTGGTTGATTTAACTCACGAATACCCACTTATTAGTATTGTATGCGCTCTAAAGTAGAGCTGAGCCAAGTACTTCCAGAATTATCATCGATCCAAATTTGAGAAGATAAACAAACATTCAAGTGGTACTTTTATCATTCAGGTAATGATATAGCACTAGCGTTGGTTGATCACTTAAGCTGCGTTCCATAACTTTTACTGGTAGCACAACATCCATGTTTATTTGGATTTCTTAATTAATCCAAGACATTTACTTATTCTAGGTCATAAGGGTATTTTGGTCATTTTGGTACTCAACGTTTTTTTATTCATTTCAAAGCTTGAGTATATCCATTCATTCATGAGCTTGGTGATATTCTTGAGTCATTTCCATTCCAGGGGTATTTTGGTCATTTTATAGATCTAATGTATTTCCATCATTTCCTTACGTCTGATCTTATTATTTAACTTAATGTTATCACTTACTTCAGTCCTTTCAAAAAATTCTGACCAAAGAGCACATTCGATAAATCATTCTTCAGGTATTTACTCAATTCGGTAATTTCCAGGTTAAATGTCTTTTCAAATGTTACTAACGAATTTTCAGAAATTTTCCATACAAAGGTAGGATCCCAACAATCAAATCAGTAATTTATCGATTTATAAACAAATTCTCAGGTTACTCTCTCATTCAGAGTCAACTTGGACTATTTTCAACTATCAATGGCATTTTCGTAATTTCGCACCTAGATACTTTTAGTATTAACTCTTAACGAAAATAAATATAATTTAGAGATCTTATAATTAATTACTTTCTTAAACATTCTCTGTTCTTGAAATGATTCCCTTAATATACTTCTAGTATCTTGCACAAACCCTCTTGGGGTTAAAAATCAGTTATCCAAATTTCCTAAGCAAAACTAGCATTTCTTATGCAAATCTGTAATTTTATCGGATCAATATATCTTTTCAGAGTTATTATCCAACTTCCAGGGAAAATTCTTGTTATCTTACAACATAAAGGTATTTTCGTAATTTTACTTTACCGGAGTATTCTCATAATTTCTCATCCAAGTACCTTTAACATTTAATCTTTGATGAAATAAATTATAAGTTACATATCCAGGGCTGATTTTTTTATCATTAATCGCAGAACTTGTAATTTTAATTCTAACAATTCCTCACTTTCTTATATTAGTCATTCGAGTCGTATTCAATTACCGAATTTCTACCTTATTCATAACGAGTGTAGAAATTAATCAACTCCACAAAAGTGACCACATTATCTTATTCATGCATTTACCAATATCAGCATGTTTCATAAAACATAAAGAGGTAGTAGTAAAGTATTACCTCAATTTTTGTGTCATACTGATCGACCATTTAAACTCTATTCGAACTCCCTCGATCTTGAAATTAACTTCCAATATTTTCCTCACGATCCAAGCCATCAAAATTACTAACTCGTATCCAAATAAATTCCCTCGCCATAAAGATAGCTTATTAGAATTTAAATAATAATTTGGAAACCCAAATTTGCATAACTAAAAACTTGAAGAGCCAGTAATATTTAATTACTAACATCATAGACTAAATTGATCTTATTTAAACCATTATACCATAATCATAATAATACGGAAGCTAAAAGACAAGGTTAAGTTTTTACCAAATTTGGATGACTAACCTAGTAATTTCGCCCTTCTCATTTTATCAAAATTTCCCTCCCTTGATAAACCCTTTTTTATTATTATTAATTTGCTGTTGAAGAAATCTCCTCCATGGTCCTGACGAAGATGAAAGAGATTGTCGAGGCTTATCTTGGTCAACTATTAAAAACGCCGTCGTTACTGTTCCAGCTTACACACGACTTCGGCGCTGCTCGCGAAATCGACGAGCTTGGCTCGATGATTGCATAACAGCTCAGACCCTCTCTCGGCCACTAACTGAAGGTTCTCTTCAGTGTTTTTATTGGATGTTAACAGCCAATATTAGCTTCCTCCTGCACATGAAATTCAACAACTGTAGCACCGTTTCAGGTCATGGAGTTAAGAGAACCGGTGTTACTTCTACTTGAAAGCTGGTCATTTTCAGAAAAAACCATACCTTTGATGCAGCAAGCATCCATTGCTATTGCTATCTACAGTTGGAATCCGTGCTTGCTGGAACTTAAAAGTTTGAGGGTAATCAAAAACTGGAACTAAGTTTTCTTTCGTGCTGTAATCATGGAAGTTGGCAACTTTTAAATCTCTATTTCCCCAACAAATGATTCGATGGAAAGCTCCACAGGAACCTGCAATGCAAGTGAACGTTGATGCTACCTATGTTTCTGCCGATCGAAGGGACATAACAGGAGCTATCATTCGAGACCGTGAGGGATATGTGCTTGGAGCCTCTCGAAGAATTTGTCCTTCCACCCCTTCAACCTTTGCAGCAGAAGCTACTACTGTTCTCCATGGCCTTTGCCTTGCTGGAATTCGAAGTGAAAGCAACCTATTTTGAAGAGTTTGAAAGGGTACGTAGAGAGAGGGAAACAGACTGGAAAATAGACCTAAAAGAAGTGAAAATGAAGATTTTTGATAAAAAAAAAAGCGTGGAAGAAGACGATTTGTATTTGTAGGGTCTTATTTAACTGTAGGTTGCTTCGATTTGGTTTTCATGTTTGTTGTTTTCTTAGGATCTTATCTCTACCTATTTTATGATTATTGCTTGTTTGTCTTTCTTGATTATTTAGTCTGACACCTTGATTAAAATAAAACACAAATGGCCACTAAAATATCTTTCAAGTGGTGGTTCACCATATTATTCTAATAATAATAATAATAAAATCATATCAAATAAAACTCAGGTAAACCACGTTAATTTTAAAATCAACTTAACCCAAAGAAGGTTAAAATTATACATAGAGTCCTTAATTTTTTTCAAAATTCCTTATTGATCCAATATTTTAGTAAGACTATTTTTATTAATATAATACGAAATTTTAACTCTTAGATTGAGGTGTTACACTTTTGTAACGGTAAATACGACAAGACTGATTATAAGTTGAAGTGCGATTAATATTCGCTTTGAATTGACTCGATTGGAGTTCGAACTCGATTCGAGTTCTTAACGAGTTGAAAAAAACTATTTGATACCTGGTTCGAAAATATTGCGAGCAACTCGAAAAATTAGTATATATTAAATTTTATTTTTTAAATTAAATTATTAATTATATTAACATTTATACGTTGTCGGTTTAAAAAAAAGTAATATAAAATTTTCATATACTTAAAGTTTAAGTTCGATTTTGAACCAAATTTGAGTTCGAGCTTCAATTGAGCTAAGTTTGAGAATGTTTCGAGCTCAAATTTTCTCGGGTTGGAGTTGAACTTTAATTTTTGATTTTGAGTCGAACTTGATAATTTTAAAGTTCACGAGTTTTGGAATCGAGTTGAGCTCAGTTTTAAACTTTTTAAGTCGAGTCGAACTCAACAATATTTGAGCTCTTTAATATCAACGAGAATTAAATCACATTCATACGGGGACATATTACGTAATTAGGTATCTAATTCTTTTTAATGGTGTAATAAGGTATCTTTGATGTTTAATATTTTTTTAAAAAAAGTTACTTGTTTTCGTACTGAAAATTTTAGCATCTAATTTTGAAAATATATAATACACATTATCTCTTTAATTAAACGGCGTTAAGATTGAATCAATCAAAATTGACCATATGTAATTAGAAAAAGTTTGGTACTTAATTGGACAAAGAGAAAAGTTAGGTACCTAATTACAACATTAAAGGTATATGATTGCATAAAAAAGGTTGAATACCACTTTTCATATAAATATCAAAATTAGGCATCAAAAGTTACAGTTTACCTTTTTATAAATCTTAATCATAATTATTATTGATATTTTAAATAATTAGTTTTTATAAAAACATATAGTATTTGAAAACTATTCAAAATAAGTTGTATAAAATGTACAGTTTTATTTATGAAAGGTAAAACGGACTGAGAGTTGTCTTAAAGCGGAAACGTCTACGTGTATCCGACAAACCAATTAGACCTCGCCACATATACCAAAAAGTTTCAGAACCCAGTCAGATTGTAGTCGGTGACGTTACTTCGTTAAATAATTCAAATGTTGAATGATTCAAATGTTGAATGATTCAAATGTTGAATGATTCATAAGTTTTGTATGAATTAATTCTGAATGTGACTTATTGTTTGATAATGACTCTGAATCATTCAGAATATACTTTGATGCTGAATTATCCAATATTATTTTACTGAATCAGTTAACACTAAATTATTCAAAGATAAAAAATAAATACACAAAATACTAAACGATTCAACATTTAATACTGAATAATTTTATTTAAAATTAAACAAACAGCCCCTTAATCTTCATCTATACAGCGGATGAATTAGCTGTCATTTTCTATCATTTCCGCAGATTTCTCCAGAAACTGAGCGTTCGAGAGAGGAAATAATTCGTAGGGAATTGTGGGAGCTTCAAATTTTCCTGCTTTTGCTCGCTTGAATCATCTCCGGCTACCTGATCCATTCGTTAGCATGGTGAGTTTTTATTTCTTTTTTTAAAATAATGTTAGTTTTTTGTCTTACTTAAATGTTTTAATATTTGTTTTTCCTATTAATTTGATTATTATTGTTGATTATATATTGTTCTTGATCTGCTTATTTCTGAACAGTTCCGATCTAGACTTTTTCCGTTCATTGCCTGAAAAAGCGATTGTACATTTCTGAGAGATTATAGATCTAAATTTACCATATTTACATGCCTCGCACTTTGATACTGTATTTTTTTTTTCAAAATCATCTCGAACAATCAGTTTTTTAGTGTAAACTTTAGTTGCATTTTCTCTTATAGTGCGTTTATGATTGTATTCTAATTCTCTTTTCAAGATTCGAAACATCATGAATATTGATAAATGTTTAGATCCATAATATCCATTCCCAAATTAGTCCCAGGCAGAGACTCGGATACCCTAACCCTACCTATTATCCCCCAATTGTTCTTAACTTTTTTGGCCATGAAATTATTCTTTTATTTAGTTACGAATATTATGATGAGTCGATGACTCTTATTTTCTGGTTTGGGCGGACAACATCCAGGCGAGAGGAAGGTGGAGAAGTTCCAAAAGAACATAACAAAGAGAGGAGCTGTGCCTGAGACAACCACAAAGAAGGGGAATGATTATCCCGTCGCCCTGTACTGCTCGGGTTCTTCATTTTCGTAGTCATTGGATCATGTAAGGATTCTTTGCCCTTATATTTCCGTATTCAATTTCTCCCTTCTTAATACAATCAAATACAATGCATGAATTTCTTTTATACTAGTAGGTCAGAACATCCCATGATAACATAGATGAGTTCTTGTGCTTTGATTTGTTCCTGCGTACGGATTATGAGTATTGTTTCTTCATTTGTGCCCATGGCTGTTTGCTTACATTGCAAGTAAGGTAATTGTGCATGAGTGTGTATGATTTGTAGCAGTGCATATGAAGAATTGATGCATGTTTATAATCTGAATTTGTGTGCATTAATGATGCATTATGTGGATATTATGCCATGATATACTGATCAAGTTCTTGTTATTTAATGTAACAGCTCTCTTCAGCTACCAGCGGAGGCATGGCGTAAGTCTGCAAAAGCAATGTTAAGAAGTTGCAGAGACTGGTCTTGTAATGCCCTCCTTTTCTGTTAGTTTTGCAGGGAACTGATGATACATTTATGCTTGAACAAGATGGACTAAAATGTATAAGCATCTCATGTTATTATTAGAGCAATTCATCGGCCGAACTTAGTTGGAAAAACTTTAACCCAATTTTAGTCTGGTCCGATTGGAAAAAAATTAATTCGAGTTAAGTCAAATCAAGTCGACTCAAATTAAAAAAAATATCGTCACTCTTTCTATAATGATTATATTTCCTGTTACTATTATTCCAACCCTTTTCACTAGAATATTGCACAACTTAGATAATGCTCGTGGAGTTATTCATAATACTGACATATGAATACTTTTTATACGGAAAGATCTCATTCATGGTTCTCTCTTGTTTTCACTACTTGTATCTCAATTCGCCGTATTTAGGCCCTTCATAGGAGGTTTTCTCACTCCTTAAAAACGCGTGTGAATTGAAACTATAGTAATTCATCCACATGTTCGTACAAAAAAAGAAAATAAAGAAAATGGTCATTTATATTACTCCATGTAACCAAAAAGAAAATCCGGCGGCAGAAGTAGCAGCAAAAGCTTGTTGGCAGCCGAGCATAATTGCAGTAGCAAATTCAGAAAAACCTTCTTGACGTCCCAATGCTGCCAGTGCTATAAGCACAAAGAAGGGTTGGAAATCAAGCAGTAGCAGTCAAGCAGGGGTTGAAGGCGATGCAACATGCTATCCGCAGTTGCTTTCTCCCCCGTGGTGCAATGCATGCAGGAACTGTCAGCCAGTCCCTGCTCATCACATTGTATGTAACTAATCTGTTCATTTGTCTCGATCTCAAGTGCAACATGAGCAAACCTTTGTTGCCCGAGCAAGTCATTCGAACGTGCTTGCCATAAAACTCTAAGCACCATATGTTTGGCATTCTGTCAACCTCCTTCCACAAGAGCGTCATCTTCTGCAGCTCCCATATGCAGACACAAGTGGCAGCATTTTTCGTCAGCAATCCAACGAGCAAGATCCTTCCCTTATACTCTGCAAGCGAGTGGTCACTCAGATGTAAAGGGGCCGGGATAATAAATTGTTTGCATACCCCGGTATCCATGTTGTAGGACACAATCCCTCCGGGGTCTGACTGCATGAAGTAAAGTGTGCCATCAACAGAAACAGCCTGTGACTGAAAGTTATGTGAGGGTGACACCTTAATGTTTAAGGGCATGCTTCCTGGTTGACTCCATGAATTCTTCACCGAATCATAAACTTCACATTCTCCGTCACCTCCCACCCACATGACGTTGTAGCCTCCGGTGGTTGAATTCCTGTTCAGGGTCATCCCCACAGCAATACACGACCACACTTTGACTGACCTAGGTGGCAACTCTTTAATTGACTGAGTCAAGGGATTGCAGACAAAGAATTTCCTATGACCAATGTCAAGAAAACAAACTAGACCACCAGCAGATGCAACTGGCTGAGCAATCATTTTTGCTGGTTTAAACGCAAGACGGTGCCATTTCCTCATGGAAGGGTCATAAAACATGGCTCCAACATTCACATTGTCATGAGTAAAAGCATAGAACCAGGGATCGCCTAGCGGGATTTCAGCACAATGTTGAGAGAAAGTTTGCGAGTTCAACAAGGAATTCCATTTACGGCAAACCGAGCGGAAACGAAAGAATGAGGCAATGGGAAGTCTAGCAACAACAGCTTCAAAAAGGTCTTCAGGGAAATCTTTCCAAATATCTTGTTCCATAACCTCCACCTCAGGTATATCGATACTAAAATGTAACTTCTCTCTGTTCAGATCCTTTCGTGGTTTCTTGCTTGGTGGAGACTCGAAAGATTCCAAGATCTTACAACTTCCAGATTTTCCGGCAGCCATTACGAGACTAGTAATTGTCTGCAGAAGTATCATTGATATGGGGCACAAACCACCTGCATGGAAGCTAACATGAGTAACCATATTGCTGCTTTCTACATAAACTAGACAACTACAATAGATAATTAAGCTTATACATGTTTAAAACATTATTAGATGTGTCAATTCCACCATCGACCATGTCACAATCCATATAGTAAGTATCTCGAGTAATTACGATCTGTTTGATTTATGCATGTCCAAAGAGATAGTTCATCAATTTGCCTCACCATCTTATTGATCAATAGTTGCAGCAATGTAATCAATTACCAATATTCCCTATTAGCTAAGTTTGCTCATCAAAACAAATTCATACACACTGCCACTGGGTACATTGATAAAAAGAAAAAAGTTTACAGCCAAAGCATCCAAAAGGTAGCAAAGAAGCCTTGTGTCTATGCAGCAACATGTTTCGTGATTAACCTATACTTGTGCTAGAGACTACAACCAAATTTAGTAGGCGGTCATACAAGTAACCAGCAATCCATTTGGATTTCAACATTCACATTACCTTTGAACTTTGATCATCAAGCCTGTCACCCTAGCCAAGGCCTTAGACTGCCGGTTTTCACAGGTACATATTTTTATGGCCATTTTTGCAACAACAAAAAAAGAAGAAAAAAACAAGACCAAGATAAACAATCACGCCATGAGCTTTGTATGCTTCGGCCATGATATAAATCATGCTTCCAGGCATGCAAAATGCATCTCAACGTCTTCATATTAACAAAAAGCGGATCTTACCATATTTTCCTGACTGGTTTTACCTAACATTTTCATTAAAAGGGAACCTAAAAAAATACACATTAGCAAGATAGATACCAACCACCAAACATTTTCATTAGAAAATAATTTAAACATTAACTTTAACTGAACCCATTGAGTGGCCTCATTGGTTAAAGGGAGTGTTGTTATTCCTTGAGGTTCTAGGTTCGAGCAACTGCATCTACAGAGTATGTGCGTTGTTAATGGTTAAGAAGGATTATGAACAGATACTACCTTACAATCACCCCAAACTATTCAAAAAAAGATTAACTTTAGCTAGAACAATATTGCAATTTGCGTCCACAACTTATATATGGACCATATTGCTTAGTACTCATCAGAGTTTGTCATAAATGAGATCATTGACGCAAAGCATATATAGTGATGAAAAAAATACCACAACAAGGCTAATGACCTAATTTGGCATGCAAAATTCACCCAATACATTGTGATTTCTTTCACCAGCTGGTATTTGTTTTAGTTGCACAACAAATGACCTCTATTCCAACTACGTGCACTACTAAACGAAATTTTCAACTATGTTCTCAGTTACGTTGCCACATTCCATAAAGCATGGATATGAAGGAATATTGCGAAAGAGATTCCTACGGCCCTACTGTGGCATATCAACAAACTGACTGAGCATTATGAATTAACCAAGAAGCTATTCAACATGCATTTTTAAAACTCAAAGTTTTAAAGGAGACCTTGAAACAAATGAAGTCCAACTTGAAACCCCATAGCCCTAGATGAGTTGAATTACTAGTAAATTAACTATCTTTTTATTCATACTTAGCAGGGAAAAGGGGAAATTTTAAAAGAACTGATTGGCCATGGGATATAATTACACAAGAACCATAGGTCTAAGATTCCATATACACTGTCAAACCACAATCACTTATTTACCACAACCAAGAAGAAATATTCAAGTATCATTTATCAAAAGGCAGTGGTCAACAAGTTCAAAGTTAAGCATGGCAAGATTTGAAACAAAATCATCATTCCCTAACAAATGAAGAGAGAACAAAAGAAAAGGAAGAAAAAAAACCCAGAAACATGCAAAAGGTGGAAAAGGAAAAGCAAAGCAAAAGGGAGTAAAAAAAATGGTATTACACTAAAAATCAATAATTTTTGCAAAGGAAAAAGTGCAAACTAGGTGGAATAACTACCAAAAAATCTAATGGAATTATGTATTAACAAGCAGAAGTACCTGAAAAAAGGAAATTTGAGAGAAAAATATGACAGTTAGCATAAGAACGTATATATAAAATTGTGAGAGAAAAAAACACATTGGAATTCAATATCCTACGAGTAAATCACCTTACTTTTATCAAAATAAACAGAACAAATAAATGTCATAAGCAGAGAAGGGGGAAAGAGAAAATGGGTGGTGAGAGAGGAAGAAGGAATTAAAGAGATCTATCTAAAAGAAAGCAACCCGTGGTGGTGGTGGTGGTGGTCGGAGGGAGGAGGAGGACAGCCGTAGAGTTGCAAAAAGTCTTGAAGCTGAGCGATGAGCTACCTGAGCATGGCCAGCTCTTCCATGCCCACCATCAACAACAACAACAACAAAAGAAATCTCCTTTTCCTCTTTCAATCGTCTCTCTATGCCTCTTTCTTCGTGCCATTGAAATGCTGTTTTGTTGTGAGTTAAGCGAAGCGAGTCATCTAATACTAAATCAGTTTGGCCTATAAACCCATAATTTCATGTAATTATTCTCACCCGCACGCTCTTTTGTCATCGTAATCATCCCTTTTCCTTCTTTTCCAATTTAGGATTTTTTTTTAAATTCAAAAACAAATAAAGCTAAATCCTTCTTACTATTTTCAAAATCATTTCTTCAACAAAATTCTATGCTTTCTTCATTAGCCTAAATGGATTTACTATTGTCCATAAATGCAAAATTCAGCATTTTAATTATAACTTTTATCATATCATGTATAAATTTCACTACTTTAATCATCAATAATATAAATTTCTACATTTTATATATTTTAATTATTTTTTTCTCTTGAAAAAATTCAATGGACTTGGAGTTTCTCCGTTATGATATTTGTCCCCACCCGACCTTTATTCCAGTTTAATTTTTATGATGATTTTGTTAGATTTACGGAAGTACTGAGTCCATCATTATATTCATGACCTGTGTCTTCCCTCTATCAATTTATTATTTCATCCTATAAAAAAATTAATACTACGTTTTGGTATCTGTTTTACATTTAAGTTTAAATATTTAACTTTTTAATTAAATATTTAAAATGAGTGAACTATACATTTAGTACCTAAATTATTAATTTTATTTCATTTTAGTACATAAATTTCATCTATTTCAAAATCACATATGAAGCTTACTTTTTGTTTCGTTTTGGTACCTCAAAGGTTAAAAATTTACATGGCACGTTTATGGGTAAATTGCATCATTCATCACTCAACTCTTCTCACTCCTATTTTGCTCACCGAAGTTTAATTTTTTAATTTAATTATTTAGCTTTTAAATTATTTCTTATTTAATCACTCTAACTTTCAAGTTTAATTTTTTTAATTTTAATTATATATTAATAAAATAATAATAAAAAGGACATGTCACAAAAATATTAATAAAACAAATTAGAGTGATTAAAACATGAGTAATTTAAAAGTTGAGTAGTTACATTGAAATTTTTTAAACTTTAGTGACCAAAATAAGAATGAGAAGATAGTTAAGTGATGAATGATGTTATTATCCATAAAAATGTCACATGCTGCAGTTCCATTGAGTTTTTAACAGTATGTACTAAAATGAAACAAAAAATAAATGTTAAGTATGGTTTTGAAACAAATAAAAGTTTAGGTACTAAAACAAAATAAAATTAATAGTTTAAGTACTAAATGTGTAGTTTACCAAAAAAATAATATTATACTTTGGTATCTGTGTTTTTTTTTATTTAAGTTTAAATATTTAATATTTTTAGTCAATTAAATATTTAAATTTGGATCTTTATTTAAATTATTATATAAATTTGATTTCTTGTTTAAATTAATTTAAAATTATAAGTAAGTCAATATCAAATTAAATTTGAATATCTAATTAGAAAATAAAATTTAAATATCAAATTAAATATTAAAATGAAATTCAAATATCTAATATATATGTTCACCTAATAAAAAAATATGAATCATTCCGAAATAAATTAGTACATATAACTTAACTTGTAATAACTTTGAGCAATATATAGCCATGGAATAATTTAAATTATAATAAATACTATAAAAACTTGTGTGATTTAGGATTTGATTGTTAGTGTTTAGGTTCAACGTTAAGATAAACGTGGTTGTATAAAGATCGTGTGTAGATTATAATCAGCACGTGATTTGATTTTATGGGTTCCGGTCCAACCTGATTTTAGTGAATCGAGATTTATTGGAAGAAAAAAAATCATGGTCGTATTGAGGTTTTTTAGAAAATAAGTTTGAATCGAATTTATATTAAAAATAGTTGATTAATCCGACTCTAAAAGTAATATAATTATATCTTATATATTTATGGATGGTTGAAGTAATACTCGATCTCTATATTATTTTATTCAATAGATCTATATTTTATTAAATATAATTAATATTTTTATAAATATATTTGTCTCGATTTGAGTTAGGTTGAATTCAAATTTTATCTTGGTGAGTCAGGTTTTGAGTTAAGTGAAATCACCCTGAATTTAGGTCGAGACAAATTTTCAAGTGAACTGTGTATAATTTTTTTGAATTAAATCAAATTTTATATATAATTACCTCATATTAATAAAAGTAACTATATAGGTAAAAAGGAAAGCAGTTGAGGGTTCATTGTCATGAAACCTCAAGTGGAAAGGCAAGCGAGGAAATGATGCATTCAACAACCCAAACGCCTCTTAGACGACCGCCCAAGGTTTGCTTCAACGTAGAGCTTCCATCTTTAACATTTTAACTTCCGCTTACCTGTGCTTACATTTCATCTTCCTTACTGTAACCAACATAAATATAACATTTTATATCATATGATATGCAAACTTAATAAATTATAAAATGTTAGTTATTGTTATTTTTAAAAGGTTTTAGATTCGAGTAATGAACATTACAGAATGTGTGTATGTTATAAATTAGATAAAAATATTATGAAGATATGTTATCTTATGATAATCACAAGCTAATAAAAAGATTATATTAAAAGTTTTAAAATATAAAAAATATTAAAATTATATAATAATTTAAAAATTTTAAGATTACAATTACAATTTTAACATTTTCTCAATCTATTCTAATTATCGATCAATTATATATATATATATATATAAACTCATTTGAATGATTTTTTTTATAATTTAAATAGGAGTAAATAAGATTCAGGTCCAAACAAACAATCCAATCTTTGTAGTTTACACGTTTAATGATTTAAAGATTCAAAGAGAAAAAGAGAAGAAAGTAACGATGAAGGGTAATTTAGGAAAGATCAATAATGATGAGGTTTCTTCAAAACCTGGCTATGAAATGGCGGTGGGCAATCATTTCTTCTCCTCTTGGGAACACAAAGTCTTTCTTTTTATTATTATTACTATGGGTAAACTATTCATTCGGTGCCTCATTTTTTCCCACGTTTCTATTTCTACCCTAATTACTTTTTAAAATTATAGAGCACTTAATATTACATTTTATTTTATTTTGATACACCACCGTCAATTTAGTTTGATAATTCAACGGACATAATGATATGATCTGATATAATAATAATTTGAATTTTCTAAGTTTATATATTCTATCAATTTAATCTTAATTTAATAAATTTAATTTAATCATTGGTATTTAAAAATCATATCAGTTTGATAATTACTTTCCTTTTGAAATAATTAAATAATTTAATAACCTAATGATTATTATTTTAGTCAAAGATATATTAATTTCTTAGCTTAATCTAATGGTTAAGTTTTACTCTTAAACTTTTTAGGTTCGAACCATTTCAACCTTAAATGGGGACACATGTTTTCGTCTTAATGAAGGACTAATTTATGGGATTATTTAATTATTTTAAATTAAAATAAGAATTAATTTAATAAAATATATTAATTTTAAGGATTAAATAATTATTATACTGGATCACACCATTTATTTTTATTAAATCAACTGTTAAAATTAACAGTGAGATACCAAATTAAAATAAAATAAAATCGTTAAATATGATTTAATTGGAAAAAAATTAGTGCAAAAACAAAAATACAAAATAAATGAGATAGCAAATAGATAATTAACCCATTTTTTTATTTTGATTCATATTTTATTTTTTTTATTATAAGGTAGTAAATTGTCTAAAAAAAATAAAAAAAAATCAAGAGGGTTTTCTTTTAAAATTAGATTTACAGTTTACAGTTCGGATATTTTTGTGTTTATAAATTACTTTTTTTTTTTACAATTTCAATACAGTAAGAAAAGATTTGTTTCATTGTATATGTGTATTAGATTATGTAACATATAATAATAAATAATTGGTTGTAAAATAACCATAACAACAAAAATAAATGTGTAAATTTTAAGTGAAATATATATTATAAATGTGTAAATCACAATAGATGATAAAAAATTTACTATGTTAATAATAAAATAAGAAATATTATAAAATATGCATAAAACAAAACCTATACGTGTTATAATACATACAAAATCCTACAACAAACTTAAAAATTCTTATATACATATTTATAATTATACAAACACCTTAAATCTTAAAAATATTTGGTCTATGTTGTAAGAATATAATTAGGAGTGAGTATTTGACCGAGTTGAGTTGAATTGAGTCAAAAAAAAAAATTTTGAATTAGCTGAGTTGATAATTCATATTCAGTAATTCAAATTTTATTTCAATATTTTTCGAGTCAAGTTTATAAAATTTGATTCAAGTTGATTCGAGTTGTTCGAGTTTCTATTTAAATTTAATTATAAATATTTATAATATTATGATACTAATTGATTATGATTTAAATTACTTTCTATAATCATATATGATATACATATATATTTCTTCATATATTTTTTTATGTTATACGCATATCATACCGAGTTGATGAACTCGACTCGGACTTAAACATTAATTCATTAATTACTAAAAATTTCAAGTTATTCGAGTCTTATTTTATAATTCAAAATTTATTTAATTATTTTTAGTTTATTTTATGAAATTATAAGTGAAATAAAGTTAAATCAAATAAAAAAAATTCAATTTTTTCGAATTAAATCGATTTTTACTCGCCCAACTATAAGGACATAATAATACACTCCGTACATCGGTCCACTTTTAATGGGTTATGCATAATTATTACTTATAAATGGACGTTGGACATATACGAGACATCTAAGTAAGGCCCAAAATTAAGAGCCTGGCATTCATAAAGTGGAGTACTTTCACAACAATGTAAAATGTTTATATTATTCTTTTAATAGTCTTAAACGATTATAATGTAATATCTTATCATAATTTTTTAATATGAAACAAATTTACAGATATCAATATTTGTGTAGAATCCGTTAAGTGGCTTCAGTGGCTAAGGGAATATTATTTTCTCAAGAGCTCTTGAGCTTGAACAGCTACGTGTGCATGGTGTTCATTATCGATAGTAAAGAAAAGTTTAACCTACACGAAGAACAAGCCAAGCTTAAACATTTTTTTCCCTAATATTTAAAATTTAATAATAAAATGCATTAATGGTTATGAAGATTTCCAAGATACCTACATTTGTTGGAAGTGTTGAGTACTTCACATGCTATCGATAGTAAAGAAGTTTAACCTACACGAAGAACAAGCCAAGCTTAAACATTTTTTTCCCTAATATTTAAAATTTAATAATAAAATGCATTAATGTGTGGTTATGAAGATTTCCAAGATACCTACATTTGTTGGAGGGTAAGTGTTGAGTACTTCACATGCAATGAATGATAACATAGACAATTGATGTTTCTTTCTTGCTGCAATATTCTTACATTCTACTTGTTTCTTTCTTACTTGTGATCCCATGCACCCTTCATGATTACCAATTTATTTCTACAATTTCACATTCCATTATAAAGCAAAGGCCAGGCCACTTCTCTTTCAATTCATTCCTTGCGATTCCTTGTATCAACTATGGAAACTTCGACTCCGATGCAACATTCCGAAGATGACAATGAACATGTTTTCCTTAGCAAATACCCACCGGTTTCGGTGCCGGATAACTTGACATTGCCGGAATTTGTTCTCCAGGATGCCGAGCTATACGCTGACAAGGTAGCGTTCGTGGAAGCTGTGTTGGGGAAATCGTATACGTATGGCGAAGTGGTTCGGGACACAAGAAGATTCGCAAAGGCCTTGAGCTCGCTTGGTCTTAGGAAAGGCCATGTGGTTCTGGTATTACTACCAAATATTGCAGAGTATGGCATTGTTGCTCTTGGGATCATGGCTGCCGGAGGTGTTTTCTCAGGTGCGAACCCGGCGTCGCACACGGAGGAAATAATGAAACAAGCCAATGCTGCAAACGCTAAGTTGATAGTGACGAATGGTCCGAACTATGAAAAGGTGATGAAATTAAATGCCTACATGCTCCTTAAAAACTATGAAATCTAACAATGGAAAAACATTAAGTTGTGCTTGGAATTACAGGTGAAAGATCTGGAGCAACCTGTCGTTGTACTAGGCGAGGAGCGCATTGAAGGCGCCACGAATTGGGACGATCTGCTGGAAGCCGGGGATCGTGCAGGTGCAGGCACTCGGTCTACTAAGGAAGAAGTTCTCCAGAGTGATCTATGTGCACTTCCATTCTCATCAGGCACCACAGGGATTTCAAAGGGTGTAATGCTAACCCATAGGAACTTAGTGGCTAACCTATGCTCATCTCTCTTCAGTGTCGGACTGGATATGGTTGGTGAAGTCACCACTTTAGGCCTGATTCCATTCTTCCACATTTACGGTATCACCGGAATTTGTTGCGCCACGCTTAGGAACAAAGGGAAAGTGGTGGTCATGAATAGGTTCGATCTCCGGACGTTCCTCAACGCATTGATCACGCATGAGATTACATTTGCCCCCATCGTGCCACCGATAATTCTTGCCCTGGTTAAGAACCCCATAGTCGATGAATTCGATCTCAGTAAGCTCAAACTCAGGGCTGTAATGACTGCAGCAGCGCCATTAGCTCCCGAGCTTCTCGCTTCATTCGAAAACAAGTTCCCCGGTGTTCAAGTCCAAGAGGTGAGAGCAATGGCCCCTTTGAATCACTTGAAATTTCTATATACTTAAAAATTTGCTTAATACTGTTTGCTACTAGGCATATGGACTAACTGAGCATAGCTGCATCACACTCACCCATGGAAATCCCATGAAAGGTCATCACACTGCAAAGAAAAACTCAGTTGGGTTTATCCTTCCTAATCTCGAGCTAAAGTTCATCGATCCAGATACCAGTAGATCTCTTCCGAAGAATACCCCGGGTGAATTGTGTGTCAGAAGCCAATGTGTTATGCAAGGTTACTATAAGAACAAGGAGGAGACTAATCGAACCATTGACGAACATGGATGGCTACATACAGGTGACATTGCTTATATAGATGATGATGGTGATGGTTTTCATTGTCGATCGCATCAAAGAGTTAATCAAGTACAAGGGTTTTCAAGTAAGCTCAAGGTTTCAGCATTTTTCTAGCCATCTTTGGCATATCTGAGAGCACTCGAGTTGGCTAAAATCTTTAAGTTTGTTTGATACTTTCACAGGTAGCTCCGGCGGAGCTAGAGGCCATCCTTCTTACTCATTCCTCGGTCGAAGATGCAGCAGTGGTACCGTAAGTATAAGCTATGTTTTTCGACAATATAACCATATTCGTGTCAAACGCATTACTCACCTCCATCGATGCAGGTTACCTGATGAAGAAGCAGGGGAAATCCCAGCGGCATGCGTCGTAATGAACCCGAATGCGAAAGAAACCGAAAGGGACATCATGGACTATGTGGCCTCCAATGTTGCACACTACAAGAAAGTGAGGGTACTGCAGTTTGTGGACACCATTCCTAAATCCCCATCTGGGAAGATCATGAGAAGGCTTTTGAAAGACAAGATGATTGAAAATATGGCCAGAAACATTTCCAACACCTAAATTTAACATTTGCCTAAATAAACTATTATATATATGAACTCTTTTGGCTCAAAGTTATCTCATTTCGATCAAAAACAGAAAGTTGTCTCATTGTTATAACTTATGATGTTAAGAAAAAAAAAATGCTTGGAGTCTCCTATATAAATTAATAATAGCAAACTATATTATTATCTGTTCGTGCTTAGCAAAATCGTTATGACCGCTGGTTGATTTGCTTCTATTTTATTAAACTTTACATACAAAGGGGTAAATTACACGGCTGACCACTCAACTATCGCCCATTTTTATTTTGACCACCGATATTTTAATTTAATCGATCAAACCACTAAATTATTTAAATGTTTCGGTAAAACCACTGACCGTTATAATTAAGGAGGGGATGATGTGGCTGTTAAAACAATTGGTATAATTATTCTTTTAGTCCTTAATATTTAGACATTCTATTAATTTAGTACTAACTTTAATTTATTCAATGAATTTAATCCTTCAATTAGATAATGACACATCTCACCATCTAATTAAAGTTTTTTTTATTAATTTTAATTTATTTAATCTAAATGAATTTTTCTTCCAATCATACGGTAACATATGTCACTATATAATTGTGAGAAAATTAAATAACATAAATAAAGCTTCAAGAAAATTAAATAACCATAAACGAAGTTGGGGAGACTCGAACCTGTGTACCCATAAAATACCATTTGGAAAAATAAAATGCATAGTGTATCAACTCTAACACTTTGTATACAATTCATATTAAGTTATACCTGGAAAACAAAGAAATAAAAATGATTTGGGGATTCGAACTAAGGCATCTAAAGAGTTTAAAAACACCTAAATCTCTAACCAAGCCTAAAAATTAATTGAAATATAATAAATTTTTATTTAATAGTAAAAAATAAAAATGAATTTATGATTTTTTTTAAATCAAATCTAAACTTTTAAAAACGTTAACCATTCCCAATTTATATGTGATAATTTATTGTTTTAAAATTTTAAATAAATAATTTAATTTTTCTTAATTTTTATTTTAATTAAAATTCTACTTTAAAAAATGTAATCATTTGCTATTAATACGACTACAAATTATTAAATATAAATAATTAAAATAGTAAATTATCATATATAAATATCGAATGATTAACTTTAAAAAATATTAGATTTTTTAAAGAAATTTTTTAAATTCGTTTTTATTTTTTAATCTTATATTAATTACAGTTTAAAGTATATATATATTAAAATCTATCCAACTTGAATTAATTTTTATATTTGGTTCAAAGATTCAAGTGCTTTTTAATTCTTTAGATCCTCCAAACTGTTTATTTTTCTTTCTTTTTCCTGGAATAATTTGATAAATGTTGTATACACAATTTTGGAATTAAAATCACATATTTGGGTTGTGTCCTAGTATCATATCATTGCAAAGGATGTAGGTTCGAACCCCCTCTAGCTCGATTCATAACTTGAATTTTTCTTCCAATTATATAATGACATGTCACACTGTATGATTGGAAGAAAAAATCATTTGAATTAATAAAAAATTAATTAGATGGTGACATGTGCCACTATCTGATTGAATGATTAAATTTATTGAATAAATTGAAATTAGTACTAAATTAATAGAATGTGTAAATATTGAGGATTAAAAGAAAATTATACCAATTATTTTAATAGCCACGTCATCCCCTCAGTTAGATATTAACAGCCAATGACTTGATTGAAACATTTAAATAGTTGAGTGGGTTGATTGATTAAATCTAAACATTGGTGGTCAAAATAAAAATAGGCAATAGTTGAATGGTCACCAATGTAGTTTACCCTAGACAAAAAATTGATGTGATTGTCCACATTTTAGTAATAATGCAAACAAGTTGATGAGTTTGAAGCTGTATATATTTCACGCTTAACAGTTATAAGGTCCTCAATTTTTTGAAATAAAAATAGTTTCAATTTTTTAAATTCAATCAAATACTTAAAACAAAAATAATTACAAATAATTAATGTCACTTTTTATAACAATCCATAATGTTGATGTGTCAATACACACATAAATGTGGTAATAAAAGAGCTTAATTGATATCTTTTTTAAAAATGATGATTTAATTAGTTCTTTAAAATAATTTGGGGACATTTAATTTTAAAATAATTTAAAATTAAATTATAAAAGTTATTTTGTAGGATGGAGATTACAAATTAAGGCGTTAGTATTGAGAAAATAACTTAATTCTTAAACCTTACACTCATTTCTTCACTTTGAGTTATGAATTATTTTCTCTAATTATCCCTTAAACATTTTTATCCAAAAATAATAAATAATAATATAACACGTTACATTTTATTGTTGGAACTGATATTTTTAAGCAAAAATGATAATTTAAAAGAAAAGGAGAGAAACTAACAATTTAAGGTTTAAATAGAAAAAATAATGTTGTCAAAACAAAACAAAAAATGCATCAAGAGTTTAAATTAAAAATAAATCAAAAGAACAAAACAAAATCAACCAACCCGACGTAGCTTACTGTCATGATTTACACTAACCCAATGTTGCTTGAACCGGATCGGACCAATCACTCCATTGAATCGCAATCAATGATCCGACCAATTGAAGCGATAATATTAAATCATGTTTAACAAGTATGAACAAAAATCGATGCTAAAGAATTTAACTTGATTGGACTCATAATTTCATAAACTTAGAAAAAGTTCAATTTCGAGTCAAAATATAAACTAGATTTATTTTCAAGTTGAGTCATTGGACTCTACATGATATATGTATATTGAAAAAAATTTAAATTACTATATATGCATCTCATATATGGTTAAAGGAAGTCGTTTAAATTGAACTCAATTAGTATCCTAACATTATAAATATTTACAACTAAATTTAAATAGAAACTCAAACAGCTCAACTCACCTTGAATTTCATAAACTCAACTCGAAAAAATTTCAATTAAAATTTGAGTTATAATATAGGACTCATCAACTCGACTTACTGAACATTTTCTACTCGATTCCATCAAGTGCTCACTCCTAATGTTTAGAGTGAACAACAACAAATAACTAAAAACCATGAACAAGAACAAAAGAAAGATAGAACCAAATACATGAATATTATTAACCAGTTTGGATGCTGAAGAAGGTAATAAATGATGATCTTTTAAAAGATAAATGGGGAGGTTAATTAAAATCTTTACTCATACTTGACAAAGATGTTAACATCAATAGAACACGCAAAAAAAAACTCTTAATATCTCAAAGTTATCCACAACAGTCTCAGTGATGAATCAAGTATCTTAAGTCAACTATATACTAGAATCGATATAGAATTCAAGTGTTCACGTGCTTCTCGTGACAAAAAACTTCATTAAATAAGGTAATAAAACCTTTATAAGCTAGTGCATTCAACCCCGTTAGAATGTTAACTTTAGAATATCATTCAATCATCTTGTTAATTAACCTAGTCCTTAGATGATTGCATTATACTTTGAGATTTAAAAATCGTTCAAATTTGACAAAGACACTAATAATACCAGTAAAACGTCAACAACTCCTAATATACCAGAGTTATCTAATACTGCGGAAGAGCATTAGAAAAAATCAATTGCTGTATAAGCAAAAACTTGTTTTGAATCTCCGTGCATTCAACTAAACAATTCTATGTAACTATGAATACTAATCCAATCAAACAAATAATGCGAACTAGATTATTAATGTTATTTTGAATATCTAATGAATTTTTTGTTCTGTAATCATCTAAGTTTAATGTTTTAGAAGAAAAACAAGTGTTACAACGTTAGGGGTGCCACCACTAACCAGTTTTGAAGAATACTAAAGAAAAAATATCAAGAATATTCCTGGGCAGGAGTGGGAGAAGGAATAATCAGATGTGAATTCTTTGAAATATAGGCATGTTATGAACGTGACTGATCAAGATCTTGATGAGTTATACAGCAAGATTTTTCTTCTTCTCAATTTTAGCTAACAATTTCACAATTCTTTAACATACATCCCATCAAGATCGTGATTAGTTATGATAATATGTTCACGTCTTAAAAAATTCACATACAAATTCATTAATTGATCAATTGTGACACCCCACTCATTGCTCATTTTACCTTGCAATGAGTAAACATCATAATAATTTTCTCTAAAACATGAAACTCAGCAGACTGCAAAACAGAAATCCCATTAGAATATCAAGATAACACTGACAATCTTGTTAATAGGATTTATTTGAATGAATAATTATTCATAATTACTTGGAATTGTTTATTGGAGAATGCATTGATATTTAAGGAAAACTCTTGTACAAACAATAAAGATAACTTATCCCAAGTGATTTTGTCACATCACTTCAGTTTAAAAAAAAAGGTGCATAGCTTCCTTAGCAACCGGATAACCTTGAGATGTTAAGAGTTTTTGCCACTATATTACCTTCCTTAGCAAATCTTTTGAAGTTAGCATTCTAACCAGTTTGAATGTACTAACCTATATAAGTTCTATTTCCTTCCTTAGTAAATCAAAACATATCAATGGCATGACCCACCAAACTGATCAGTTATTCTCATATCTTAGTGCATTATCACATGGTTTTATGTTCACACGCCAACCATGTCCTCTTAGGACACTCATTGGTCCTTCAAGGATTTGTCCCCGAAAAGTATGCCTCTGTATTCAAACCCTAGACCTACATATGAATCCAACTCGCAACTATGGTACCATCTGATCTCAGTAGATTTGATTGGAAACAATTTCAATCTAGAATGACCAAAATTTCAAGGCTACGAGAAACATTGAAAACAGGACTGAATGCAACATCCAACACTAACAAGAAACCAAAGACTTCTCAAGATCAAACGTAACCACCTTCCAATGACAAGGGAAGAATGCATACTTCATATATAGCAGTTCACCACCACATGTAATTATAATGTACCATCAAGATACTAAGCTTAACCTATAATGGTGCAAAATCGGAGACAGTGTGACCAATCACACCTAGAAAGATATTATCTTAATGGATTCATGTAATTTCTCAAAGATCTAACTGACCCATGTTTATGTCACAAGAAAAAAACATAATACAAACTTGGCCACCACATTCTATTATTAAGTGCAAAAAACATTGAAAATTTCCTACTCCTAGCACTACAAAATGATAGATCTAATTAAATATCGGAAGTTGAGAACTTCTATGCTTCAAATAAAAGATTTTGGTTGACACAACGACAACCCAACACAGACAGCGGAACTGAATGAAACCGACAAACGTGCAATCTGCAGTGTCTTTACCTACTACGAATATATCTAAATTCACAGTAACATGCTCACTAGAATAGCTGAGCTGATTGCAAAATACAAAACCAACCTAACAGAAACCAACCTGTAAACATTTTTCGGATTGAGATGGCTAACACATAATGCAGCAACAATCCATAAAGACCACAAGTCCCATAGTATTAATACAAAAACTGGACACTGATCATGAGAAGGAAGAGAAACTTGACAATCGCTGCAATATAAGGATGACAAGACTGACTTTCAGACACCCATATTGAGCAATGGTGGATGATAACTCTGGACCTTCTCAACCCTCAAACATGTCCTAGTACTCACTGGAACAGTAGACAATTGCAAATCAATGAAAAGAAAGAAAAAAAGAAATTTCAGTTAAACAATAAACTTCAAGAATCTCTTCACTATAGAAAGGCAAGAAACTGTAGTAAAAAACAATAGTTAAAAATACACAAAGGTAACCTGAAAATTTCTTTAACTGGGAACATTTTGAAGGAATGAAAGCTTCTTGAATTCTTAAAGTGTACAAATGTGCTCACCAGAAACAATAACTTCAAATAAGAAACTAGAAGAAAAAGGAAATGCATCAAATCACAAACCTGATCATCCTCATTTGCAGTTGGTGAGGGGGACTTCTTTGACTCGGCTGGTTTCTCAGCCCCACAATTTTGTCTGTTGCACTTTGTCCTAAACGGATAGTTAATATTGCTACATTTCTCACACTTCCAACTTCCCTCCAGCATCTTTTGTTCTGAAAAGCACGAAATACATATGCATCAAATTTCAAACATATGACATCATGATGCTTCCAAATTTAAAAGCACTTACTTGAGCTTTTATCTGATTTTGGAGTCTGCATTTACAAAAGAAAATTGTCACAAATCAGAAATGGATTCATAATCAAAGAAAACGTATGCAGGTATCATGTATTTTCAGTTTTCAAATTACGAAACAAAAGAGAAGCTACATTGCATCATAATTAAATATGTAAATTGACAAAAACCTGAGATCCAGGTTTAGGTGTACTGCATTTCCGCATGTTACACACAGTTCTGAAGGAGAAGTTAATGTTCCCACATTTTGGGCATTTCCAATCATCATCACGTGTAGCATCTGACAAGTAATCAAAGAGAAAGGAATTAAATTACTGCATAAAAGATTGCTGTATCAGATAATCACTTCTTTGAAAAATAAGAGTAGAGGTGGCATGCCTGCACCCTTTTTGTGTAATTTATCATCTGGAAAAAATCCTGGCCTCGGTCCCTGTAGGTTCAATGTGTAATTATATCATAAACAGTAACTCATGTATAAGGTACTCCAGCCCCATCAAAACTCAAAAAATATTAGATGGTAGAATATTCAAATTTCAGAACCAATCCAAAGAATTCCTATAGAATGGAGATCCATGCTTCAGCTAAATGCTTCTAAACCAAAATAAAGAGTTTGGGATGCATGCTCAATAGAGATTGTTAACTGCTAAGACATTAAATAAATCAAGTACACAATCCCCAGCCTAGAAAACATGTAATTACATAACAAAGAAGTGTTGCAACACATTATCAGGCTTGCAATCTCAGTTTCACATTCCTAACAAAGAATGACCCCAAATCAGCAATAAGCATCTCTACATACCATTGGAGGAGGGGGCATGGGAAACCCCAGGCCATACCGGTCCATCAAAGGGGGCAAGCCATACATCCCACCTGGAATTTTTTTATAAAAAATTAGAAGAAAAGCAACACCTTTCTAAAACGATACAAGTGTAATGCTTAAGGTCAATCAAATATGCGTATGGTGGTTGGTTGCAGACAAGAAGTAATTATGATCAATACATGTTCTTGGTCAACATTTTAGCTTCCAAGTGTATACATGGAAAAACACAATAAAGCAGGAAAAGCAATCACAATTATAAACTGCAATGCAAGGCAGGTTACCAATACCATTCCCTATCATTGGCCCACTAGAATAAGAGGGTGGTCCAGTAGGCGCATGCAGCTGCCGGTAGGGACTGCCAACAGAAAGACGACTGCCATAATTGTAATGATAAGCCGGTCCTCCAGAAAAAGGAGCTTCATAAGGAGGAACAGATGAACCATTGAAGAGGGAAGAACCGTATGGTGGTACACCCAGATACACTGAAGATGGTGGTCCAGAACCTACATAAGGAGTAGATGACGAGTAACTTTGTGGCGCTTGGAGAGGCTTGCCTGCAGATTTCTGCAAGGGAAAATACACCAACTCAATCTTTTAAAAAAAATAACAATGGGAGAAAAAGGATTACAAAAGTTTAGTTTCTAAAGAGATAAACAATGGAAACAATCTATGATTTTGTGAACAACAGTCTTTTCTCCCAAAAATAAGGGATTTAGAGGGACAAAACTATACTCTGGTCTTTTTCCTTTAAGTCAGCTAAATCAGCTTAGGACCAAGTATAAAATTCTTTAAAAATAACTAGTCAAATCATACATTCCTAAGAATCAGCACTTCTATTACTAATACAGTTAAAAACAATTTCAATCTGAACATCAGTTAATAGTAAAAACCAATTTCAATCCGAACATTAATCATCAAAACCAATAAGCCAAAACTAAAACAATTAAGATTCAACAATATTAAAAACCCGGGAATATTTTAAAAGCCAGTATTGGGTAATAAACATAAAGACTTACTGAATTATGAACAGCTGGCCTAGGTTGAGTGCAATTGTGCATATTGCAAGTAGTTCTAAATGAAAAATTAACATTCCCACAACTAGGGCATGTCCAATCATCTTCTCTACGACTACCTACAAATTTAACCATAAAATTTCAACATCGTAAATATTAAACATCAAAAAATTAAACAAAATGAAATGAAAATTAATAGACGTACCATCGGTTCTAGCACGCTTCGCTGCGGAAGAGTTTCTATTGTCAACCTGAACCCAAGTTAATCACCGTAAAGATGTTCATAAATCGATACAATCAATCATTACGAAATTTAATTCCACTTACCAATAACAATTTGGAGAATTTAGCAATAAAAAGAAACGGTTCTAAGAAATAAAAAGAAAAACCTAGTTTGTCAAAGGGGAATTGGTATTCAAGATATTTCTATCATTAGATCTATTAAAACTCGATGCAGAAATCAATAAAGAGGGGAAATTTAGAGAATTGGAAAGTATAATTACCTGAGACATTGAGGCGGTGGCGATACAGGGAGATAATGACTGTTTCTGTATTAAGATTCGAAAGGGGAGAGGGGGAAGAGGAATTTGCCCTACCTGCGATAAAAGGGCGGTGAGAGAGCTATACCCCTATTTTACATCTCTCTAATATACATTATTCTCCCCCGTGTCTTTTTTCTTATTTATCTTTCTCATACAGAATATCAGCCAATGATAGTTATCTTATTAGTTATGATTTTTTATCCAAATAAAAAATGTTCGCCATAAACAATTGAGAAGATAAATTTATTCTTATTATACACAAATGAATTAAAACTAAAAAATCTAAATTTAAATAATTATAAATATATTAGATCATAATCATGGCAAAATCAACGAGATAATGCGTTGAAATTTTTTTTTTCACGAGATAGTACCCTCGCCAGATTAATTGCTCAGATGGGGTGATCTCTACAGTCCCCATCTAGGTCGCCATGCACGCCCAGCGACCTACCAGGTCGCCATGCACGCCCAGCGACCAACCAGGTCGCCATGCACGCCCAGCGACCTAGGTAGGTCGCCATGCACGCCCAGCTACCTAGGTAGGTCGCCATGCAATCCATGCAGCCCCCAAAGGTCGCCATGCACGTCCCAACACGCTGGGCATCCGAGGCCATTCGACCGAGGCCATCCGAAAGCATCCGAGGCCATCCGAAAGCAACCGAGGCTATCCGAACGAGCTATGCGAGGGCAACCGAGCGAACTATGCGAGGGAATCTGAGCAACCGAGCGAGGGTAGGTCGCCATGTATTCTGGGTGACCTACCCTCGCTCGGTTGCCCTCGGATTCCCTCGCATAGTTCGCTCGGTTGCCCTCGGATGCCCTCGCATAGCTCGTTCGGATGACCTCGGTTGCTCTCGGATGCCCAGCGTGTTGGGGCGTGCATGGCGACCTACCCCCAGGGACGTGGGACTGTAGAGATCACCCCATCTGAGCAATTAATCTGGCGAGGGCACTATCTCGTAAAAAAAAAAATCAACGTATTATCTCGTTGATTTTGCCTAATAATCATCAATACTTGCAAAATTAATTCACATATACTTGAAAAAAAACTTTATATATTTATTTTTAATTTCGAAAATATCCATTTTTAATTTTCAACCAAACGACTTTAGTATTTTCCACTTTGAAAAATTGGAACGAAAATGAAGAAAATTCTTCCCCCCCCCCCCCCAAAGCGGAAACGCATTTCTTCTTTCCACTGCTCCACTTCTATATAACAAAAGCCATACGACCAACCATATTACCAACCAGTGAAAGAAAATGAAAAGAGAAGAGACCGTCAAGAATCGGCATATATTCGCCGATAAAAGATGGATCGTCCCTCTTGTCATCGCCGGTTCCATAGTTGTCTCCAGCTTCGTAAAAACCGCCGATTACTCCATCCTTTGTTCGCTTGCGAAAACCAGATCCATGGCCATTGACAAATACTCCGCCACGCCGATCCAACTCCAAGCCATCATCCACTACGCCACTTCACAGATCATCCCCCAGCAGAACTTCCAAGAGATCTCCGTAACATTCGACGTGCTCAAGAAACGATCTCCTTGCAATTTCCTCATCTTTGGACTCGGCTACGACTCCCTCATGTGGACTGCACTCAATCCTAATGGGAATACTATATTCCTGGAAGAGGACCAGAAATGGGTCCAGAGTGTGCTCAAAGACGCGCCGAGCCTACACGCGCACGCCGTCAAGTACCGTACGCAGCTCAAGGAAGCCGACGATCTGCTCACCCATTACCTGTCGGAGCCGAGCTGTTACCCTTCGAAAGCTTACTTGCGCGGAAACGACAAGTGCAGGCTTGCCTTGACGGGATTTCCTGATGAGTATTACGATACCGAGTGGGATCTGATAATGATCGATGCGCCGCGTGGATGGTACCCGGAGGCCCCGGGAAGGATGGCGGCGATATTCTCGGCGGCAGTGATGGCGAGGAACAGGAAAGGATCGGGCGTGACGCGTGTGTTCTTGCACGATGTTAATCGGCGAGTGGAGAAGGTATTCGCCGAGGAGTTCTTGTGCAGGAAGTACTTGGTGCAGAGCGTGGGGAGGCTTTGGCATTTCGAGATCCCGCCAGCTTCTAACATGAGCAGCCTCGACAGCCATCGGTTTTGCTAAAATGCGCCCTTTTAATTTTCTTAATAAAACGCACTATATTAGTTATTTAGTAAAATTATTTTTTGAAAATTTATTTTTCCCTACTTTCCTCTTCATTAGTACACTACTGGTAATGCTTGGGAAAATAGTATCGACCGTCGGATTTTCATGATGAGATGTACTTTTATAAGAAAAATATTTTAATTATCAATGTATTTATTTTGCATGCTATTTTAATTAATTATTGTACTTGAGGGTTGAGGTGGTCCATAAAGGAGGCAGATTATCTTGGATGATTGAGCATGGGTGTTATCAACCATACAGAACACAAAATCCGGTCAGTGGAGCGTGAACGGTAGCGGCTGACCCTCACCGAGAACCAACCTCGTCGTGTCGAGGACGACGTGCCATGAGATTCGATGTACCTCCTAGAACCAATGCATAGAATGCATAGTCGTCTCATTTACATCAGCCGGATAAGCAAAAAGCCCGCTGGGACTATGTTTACATCAGCCGGATAATGAAGACGGAAAACACTCTCTTCCACTAGTATCGGCGAAGTCTCGAAGGATTCATCGCCGCTGGCTGGATTATCGACGTCGATCATCTTTCGTCCGCCTTCAACGAGTCTAGTGCAACATTGAGGATATTTTGGAAAGACATATTGCTCGATGTATTGCATTTCGCTGTGTTATAGGTCCAGACCATCTCTGACCAAGGCCTTTCAATGTTAAAATTGCTTCAGCTACCAAATGAGCTGGGATTACACTCTGCTTTCTGTTTGTCACAAGTCCAATGTCGCCATCAAAACAAAACTCAAATATCCATATTCTGTATTGTTTTTCAAAAAATATATATTGAGTTTAAAATACTTTTGAAATAAAAAATAATACATAGCCTATACACATATCCTCAAAATGACAACTTTATAAATGTTAAACACCTACTCTGACCCCCAAAAAAAACTTTAAATACCTAAAATAAACAAGATATATAATTTAAACATTTATTTTTTTAATTAAACCTAAAAATTATATGTTTATCAAATTAAACCCTAAATTTTACACCATAAATCTTAAAATTAAAATCGATCCAACAAAACCGAATTAAATCAATCTGGTCGGTTTCCACTTAATATTACTCGCCCTTAATCAATAAACTCAACTATGGACTTACTTGAAAGCCTCTTTGATTCTTTAAGACCTTAGAAGGTCCAAATAGAATGAAAAAGAACCCAATTGATCTTGCTATTTATTTATTGGTTAACGATAATCAATTATTTGGAAACGAAGACATTGAAGGATGCCACAACTTCATTCTTATCTCTTTTTCACCAATTTTGTGTCAAATTGAAAGTAGATAAAGCTATGGTCCACACCCCTTTTATTCTATATGTAACGCCTCCTTCTTCCATGTCAACTTGCTCGCTTCTTTACCCCCTAACCAAATATTTTCCCTTTTTTTTTCTTTAAGGTATTCATGTTGCTCATATCCCTAATATAAGGAAATTGTGTACTTGAATATGTTGGAACCTACAACTTTATATATTTTAGGATAAATTACAAAATTCATCATTCAACTATCTTCTCACTTTTATTTCAATCACTCAAATTTAAAAAAATTCAATTTAATCATTAAACTTTGGAATAACTCATGTTTTGATCACTCTCCAATGATATAGATTATTATTATTATTATTATGACATGAAAAATTTATTAATATTTAATGTCTAATAAAAATAAAAATAAAAAAAATAAAATGCCCAATTTCAATACCTATATCTTAACCCTAATCCTTAACCCCAATCCCCAACCCTCAACATCTTTACTATAGCCATGACCATAGCAATATGCTTTTTCTTTTTGGGAACTCATTTGTATCGAAACCAGAAACTTGGCGGTAGTCTTCTCTGGGGCTGTAAACGAGTAGAATCAAGCTCGAGTATGGTTGAGCTTGACTCAACTTGAAAACTCGTGAGCTTAAAATTGTAAAGCTTGACTCAAACTCGAAATCAAAATTGAAGCTTCTCAAGCTTGAAAAAAACTTGACCTTGGAACTTTTTTAGATTTAGCTCGATTGAAGCTCAAACTTGAGCTTAATTCAAACTCGAACCTAAACCTTAAGAACATGAAAGTTTATATTGTATTTTAAAAAAAACATGTATAAATCTTAAATTTATTAATAATTTAATTTTAAAAAATTAAAAATGTAATACTCTTATAATATTTTTTCAAGTTATTCATGAGCTTTTTGAGTCGAGTATTAAGTAGTTGGTTTCGACTCATTAAGAACTCGAGTCGAATCCATTCCATTCGAATGTTGACCGAACTCTTATAATATTTTTTCAGGTTGACGAGTGGATTTTCACAAATCTCAATATCAAAGGCTGCCACCCTAAGTTTGGCATACCTTGGAATATCTTCTTTGCCTATATGCTTTGGCACGCCTGGAAAGGGAGGAATGACAGTGTTCAATGGAGGGAGGAGTAGCGTGGATTCCATTCTCCATCAAAGCCTCGCCTTGGCTAAGCACAAACTCTCCGAAGCTCTAGTGGACGATGCAGTAGAGATTCAATGGACCCCAGCACTGCTCAATTGGGTCTGCCTCAACACTGATGGTTCAGTTGGCCAAGATAACAAAGCTTCAGCCAGAGGCGTTATTGGGGATAATCTTGGTAATTTTATTCTGGGTTTTAACAAAAATCTTGGCTCTACCTCAGTCGTTGAAGCCGAGCTTTGGGGTGTCTTACATGGTCTCCAACTCGCTTGGTCCTACGGATTTGAAAAGATTCAACTCCAGGTTGATAGCTCGAATGCTTACCATCTCGTCGAAAATGCCTCCCCTAACAGCCCTTACTCCTTGGTCTGTGGCTTAGCAAGCATCCTAAATAAAGCTTGGTGTAGAGTTCAAACTCATCAGACGCGAGGCAAACGTAGTCGCAGATTTTCTAACCAAGATTGGTGACACCAACCCCGGCCATATGACGTTGTTTAACTCTCCGATGCCACACGTAGACGAGCTTCTTAAGCGAGATGTCTCGGGTCCTCCTTATGTCCGTTTGGGACATGCTTAACCTCTCTGTTTAGGCTCACTTCTATTCAAAAAAAGAAAGAAAAAAAAGTAAGACTCGATCCACATTTGATTACATGTTAAAAATTAAAGTTTATTACATACAAATTAGAAGATCATTTTTTTATAAGATAATTTTACCCAAGAACAATAAAAATATCATATTCCATAAAACTAACATAAATTAAATGCAATGAAATTACACAAATTATCATAAAAAGCAACATATGATTTTAGCTTCCAATGAAGAGTCAAACATGATATTTTCATTGCCATAATTATGTTTTAATTTCCAGTACAACAAATGAAATCAAATTATTATATCCACACATAATTATGGACAAATTTAACCCATCACAAAGAATAAAAGCACCAACCAGAAAACAATACAATTTAGACTTTTTTAGGGAAACAAAACGGTGGTTTTTCAAACATTTAATACCATTTAATCTTAAAATAGTGGTAAATCCCATTATGTTTTGTTTGTGATCTACCAACAACATCAAAGCATGTTTGATTAGAGCTGGGAAAATCTATTACAAGAAAACATGGTTTCCATGCCAAGTTTTTACTTGATAAAACAGCTTTGAATTCCATCCTTTTTTCTGTTCTTTTTTTCATGCTGACATGTGCTGGGTATTAGTGCTTGTAATTATATCTGATGAAGATTTGTTGCGAACAATAATTATATCAGCTTCAGAATTACAACAAGAGGATTGAGCAGAGCAGCAGCAGCCTCTCAAAAATCATGGCAACATGCAAAATCTCTTTCTTCTTTCGGACAAGAAAGTGTGTGCGGTCAATCAGATTCATGTCGTTTTCTTTCTCCATAGGTTCTTTTCCAAACCCTAAGTTGCGGCCTCAAGAAGCAACAACCTATGATCTCTGTGACTAATGTTTAAATAACAACTCCAACATGATATTTTCATCACTATCTTAGGATTTCAATCATTTAAAGGTAAACTACACTAATAGTCACTAAACTTTTTGGATGCTTTCATTTTGGTCACCAGACTTTTAAAATTTACATTACATTCATTAAATTTTTAATTCGCTTTCATTAATGTGACAGCCATTAGTTGTTATTAGAAAAAAATCCTATTTTTCAAATTTACAGATATTACAACAGTTGAATTTTCAATTAACAAAGCAAATGACAATCAATCCTAATAGTGGGAAGCCTCCATTTGGCCAAGAATTTAACATAATTTAATTTCAAGTTGATTTACGGTTAAGAGTGTCAGATCAAAAAGTTTTATTGTATTCCTTGTCTCCTTCTGTAATCATTTATACTGCCGTTTGGTGGTTTCTTCTATCGAAAAGATCACCAAACTACTAATATTCTTCTTCTTCCATTTCTTCCCTTTCATTTGAACTCGTCAGAAAACATTCTAATATCCTCAAATCCCTAATAAATCCTTATCGAAACTGAAAGTTAAAACTCATTGATCTGTCATTGTCAACTATATACTCAACTTGAATCCAGACCAAGTTACTCTTTTGGCCGAACAACTTCCCACCTTTAGGATTGATGAACACCTGCTCCATTAATCTATAATTTAGCTTTGGTGGCAACTGCAAATTTAGAGCCTTAGAGAATTTCTTTTGGGAAGAAGACTTTAATGTGTTACCTCAACATTTCTTAATGACAAATCACGATAGTAACCAAATTAAAATTTTAATGACTGTAATACAAAATTTTAAAAATTGATAACCAAAATGAAAACACTTTAAAAGTTCAATAACCATTAATATAATTTACCCTATTTGTTATATACTATGATAAAACTTTGTTACACCCATAATTAAAATAAGATAAACCTATGAACCTAAAATAGGGATGGCAACGGGTCGGGTTTGGGTCGGGTATTGGTCTCCCGTCCCCGTTTAAAAAATACGTACCCGTCCCCGCTTAAAAACCGCGGAGATTTAAACGGGGATCTTCATCGGGTAATCGGAGAAAACCACGGGGAAACGGGTATCCCC